GCTAGCCTTTGAGTCTGTTGATGGGGTCTCCATTGTCGGCGGGATCCTTGACGGGAAAGGTGCGCCGTTGTGGGCTTGTAAAATGGCCGGCGAGAGTTGCCCAGACGGAGCTACGGTAAGCTGAAATGACAGAATTGGTCTTAATTATCTAGGCTAAGAAGCTAAAAAGGTGTAGTTTAAGTGGGGTAATTATGTCCTTTCACATTGACGGCTCGCCCTTTTTACAAGTTGAACGTAAGCTCAGTCCCGTTACAGTTACAAAGTCTCAGTTTCATTTCAATTAAACGTTAATATGATTATATGCAATTTTAAAATTGTTTTAAAATTAATTAATCTCAATTATATATACGTGCAAATTAGTCAAAAAAACACTCTAATTCTCCACTAAATTTCTCAATGAAAATGAGATTTGCTTTAGTTTAGGGTTAATTATTTTTGAAGATATTGTGATCCAAGGAAAGTGTTTACATGTGCATAAGCTAGTATATATTATCTTAATTTTTATTTTTTTGTGTGTGCACTTTTGCAGACGCTGAGCTTTACAAATTCCAAAAACATCGTCGTAAATAGCTTAACGTCGCTAAACAGTCAGCTGTACCACATCGTCGTCAACGGCTGCCAGAACGTGAAAATGCAAGGGGTAAGGGTCACCGCCTCCGGTACCAGCCCGAACACAGACGGCATCCACGTGCAGTTCTCGACGGACGTCACCATCCTCAACTCCCGGGTTGGAACCGGCGACGATTGCGTCTCCATCGGCCCCGGCGCTGAGAGTCTGTGGATTGAAAACTTTATCTGTGGCCCCGGACATGGTATCAGCATTGGGAGTCTAGGTAAGGACGCCAACGAGGCCGGAGTCCAGAACGTGACGGTCACAACGGCGACATTTACGGGTACCCAAAACGGGTTTAGGATCAAATCTTGGGCCAGGCCCAGCACTGGTTTTGCGCGGAATGTTCTTTTCCAACATGCTACCATGAACAATGTCCAAAATCCTATAGTCATTGATCAACATTATTGTCCGGGCGACAAAAATTGCCCTAATCAGGTACGAAACACAAGATTTATTTGATTCTTCTACATGTCTTTAACCATTGGACCAATGTCGGAAGTAATTTAACGAGTGGAATTTTTTTCTTACAGGTTTCTGGGATTAAAGTGAACGATGTAACGTACAATGATATTCATGGATCATCAGCAACAGAAGTTGCAGTTAAATTTGATTGCAGCTCGGAATATCCATGCACCGGCATAAAATTGGAAGATGTGAAGCTGACTTACGGAAACCAACAGGCTGAAGCTTCTTGTGCCAATGCTGAAGGAACTGTTTCTGGCGTGGTCCGGCCTTCAAGCTGCTTGTAAGGGGAAAAGGAAAAAGATGAAAGGATGCAATTGTATTGCATGATTATGCATAGGATATACGTATAGTAGATAAAAAGGTTATTGTTGTGGGTGTGTGTGTGTGTGTGTGTTGTATTGCATGATTATGCATAGGATATACGTATAGTAGATAAAAAGGTTATTGTTGTGGGTGTGTGTGTGTGTGTGTGAGGTTATTGCTTGAGCCTGTGGCGGTTGATGGTCCATTGGGCCAGATTATTATACTGTGGAGCCTGGCCTTGCAATCATTTATGTAGTTGATTAAGCTGTAATCCCAGCCCATTAGGGTTGATAAATATACGTAATTAATTACTGTTTTGAAAAATGTTTGTTTCTTTTTTCTTTTTTCTTCCATTTTTTTTGCCTCATCGAAAAAATGAATTGGACATATTTGAAAATAAAAATAAAAATAAAAATAAAATTAAAAAATGAAACTCCCTCAACTTTAAAAAACTACACTAAACATGGGGGACCAAGTAAGCCTTACA